CTCTTAGTCCCCCCTTCCTCTCGGCGTCATATTGATCCTAAACTGCCTGGTTGGTTGTCTGACCGACAACCTGCTTTGGTACGTTGACGACGTTCGTCAATTAAACGCCGACCGCACCTTCCAGTGGTGACCGATTCGGATTTGCGAGCAGATCTACCAAACATTTGTGGCCTGACAGCCACGAATGTTTGTCTGCAAGCTTATCAGCGTCAAGGTTATACTGTATCTCAATTTGTTACGATTGCTTATCAGCTTGACGCTGTTGAAAATGAGTTGTATGACCATAATGGTCTACCTCCTGAGGATAGTAATTATACTACCTCAGGAGGCTTTACTATAAATGTCTTACAGTTAGCATTTCACAGTCGCCACCTTCTCATGCATTATGGGACGCCAGGCGAGGACCTTAATGCCCGTCCTCATATTTCTGCATGCATTTTCCACAAACCCGGGTACTATATGGCACTCATTCGTGCAGCTGCCCAGTGGGAACTGTGGGATGGTGGGATGGTGATTCAGGTTATTGTCAACATAAATGAATTCTTGCGAGGTTTGTCGAATCATACACTGTTCTGGATTGTTGAGCGTCTCTCGTGCGACATTTGTTGGGATAGAGACGTGGTGCATCTTGGTTGTGGAATGCATTATCTGTGTCAGCACCATTATCAATCCATTGCGACTGCCGCCGTATGTGCGGAAGGGTGTCTAACATTTCCTCATTGTGCACATCCCTATCACCCAGATGTACGTCGTCCTTTCTGTTCCCAAGGACGCTATCAGAACTGCATGATGCCGCACTGACGAATGTCCTGCTGTTTTCTTGACATGTGGGCAACATGTCCTCTGTCGGGATTGTTTCGATGGGATGGTTCGTGCTAGCCGTACGGCTGAATGCTCCTTGGGTATCCCTGTGAACATCCCCGTCATCCTCACCGTAGTTGTCCTATCTGCCGAGGGGGTGACTGATGAAGTGTAGAAGAAACAGACAAAAAAAGAAACCGAGTAAAAAGATAAAAAATAAATAAATAAAAAAAGAAACCAAGGAAGGAAAAACACAAAAAAAAGAAACCTGAGAAAAAAGAAAAAAGAAAAAAGAAAAAAGAAAAATATGTTCTGTGGGATGGTAATTGGATTATCTGAGGGATGTGTCACTTGCTTCGTCTGTTTAATAGGATTTCTTCTTCTGTGAGGTTTGGTTTTCTGCCTTTTCTTTACCTCTTTGCCTTTTGGCTGCGTGCAAGTGGGTCTTTGTGACACACGGGGATGGGGGCAGCCAGCGCTCAACCTGTCATCCACGTGGCTGGCCTTGTACGTAAGAGGTGACAAACAGGTGGGGCTTTCCTTCCTTCCTTCTTTTTCCTTTTCTTGTTCTGTCTTTTTGGTTTTCTCCGGTCAGGTTGAGCGTCTGTGGTCGGGGCCGTCACTCCGCGGCCATGCTGTGCCTCTAGTGCCAGTGGCGTGTCTGGAGTGTATTTTTTGGCTGTGGTAGACCTGTCTTTGTTTCATGGGTGTTTTGCTGGTTTGCTGGCTTGTGATGGGGTGTGAACCGACAGTCTGTAGAGTTTTCCATCTGGTGTGGGTGAGTGATAGTCTGCTTTGATTTTCGTCACAGGTACCTTGAGGGCAGTGGTTGGTGGTCCCCACCACCTCAGAGGGGTATCAGTTGTCGGGCAGTCGTTGATGCTTAACCACAGCCGGGTTTAAGGTGGATTATCACTTACAGTGTAATCAGTTATTAGGGTATTCTGCAGACTGTTGAGGGTTCAGCCTCCTGATGAGTCGGTGAAACTCCGGCGAAACGGTTTGTCAGCCCCTCGTTTGTTGCCCTCTTTTCCCTCTCTGCCGACGGTTTACCGGGCAGTTCTGTTTGACGATATATATATATTCCATAACAAATTATCACTATTAAATTGCTTGCTGGCGAGTCTGTGAAACTCCGATGAAACAGTCTGTCACTACCTCCTGTTTCTTTTCCTGTTCTTCCTTCATCCGGCCAAGAACCGGGATCAACAGTTTCATCCATGTCTGCACTGTTTATTCAGCTGGTAGACCGGGCTGCTATGCTGCTCTGATTCACGTTCTGAACATTTGGAGAGCTGCGGGGCCCTGGAGTTACGGTCAGAGCTCTCGTCCGTATTGTTGATTATTATTTACTTTGCAGTCCTGATAGTGTTAGCAATAGCTGCGCGCTCTTTTACGTTGTGGACCTCGTGTATTCCTCTCAATCCGGCGTGCCTCCCTGTGATTGCCACCCCTGCATCGATGCAGGCATTGTGAGTTTTGGCTGGGAATGCCATCACCCGCGTGAGGCCCATTATGATGCAATCGCCTCTGCAGCAATGTGCGTAGAGGACGGTCCCGCTGTCCGTGACTGCATGCATCCCCTGCACCCGGACCTAACATGTGCAATTGTTGCCAAATATGTTATCCTTGCCTGCAACCGGCATGCCACCTGTCAGGCCTGCTGTCAAGAAGGCATAGTTCATGCCAGCCGCTGTGGCGACTGCTGCACTGGCATATGCTTGCTTGTCGCTTGCCCCATTATCATCCGGACCATCCGTATTGTTCCCCGCCTGTTGCCACAGAGGTGGTTTTGGCTGATTTGATCCTTGATATTACTCTCTTGTGCTGCATTGCGAATGCTCTTTCCGTAAGCAGACGGGTGCGTTGGGACTGCCTACTCAACCACACATTGGTGTTGAGTCTTGCACACTTCAGAAGAGAAAAATACTCGAAAGAATACAGAAAGACAAGGGGAAAAGGCAAAAAGGATGCCATTGTTGTTTCCTTTTCTCTACCCTTTCTATGCCGTCTGCTCTAGTTATGAGCAGACGGGTGCGTTGGGACTTCCTGCTCAACCACACGAAGGTGGCGAGTCTTTCACACTACAGAAGAGGAAAATACTGAAAAGAATACAGAAAGACAAGGGGAAAAAGAAAAAGGGGTGGAATTGTTCTTCCCTTTTCTCTACCCTTTCTATGCCGTCTGCTCTTGTTGTGGGACGATTCTAGAACGGTTTGTTGTGCTGCAGCAGTACATAAACTTTGAAGTAGAACCTGTTTGACAGGAGTCTCAGTAAAGAAAAGGAATTGGCGACTGGATTTTGAGCGTGATGCTGGGTGCGGTTATAGTTTGACGTACTGCGTGGCTCGTATGTCTCTCTGTCAGAGCTGCTGCTGTGCTGTGTAGCTCTCCGTTGTCTCTTGTAGTGGACATGCAGGATGTATCGTTCCCGCGTGGCCGTGCCTGAATATGACACAACTATGGACACATGCCCAAGACAGATTTAAGAGTTTGAATTGTGAAATCCTGTTACACAATCGCATTAGTGGCTGCCGGTTTCCAAAAGATGGAAAAGGAAACCTGCAGAAAATCAATGGACAAAACGTGGTTGGAAAATTTGCGTGTTGTGTAGGTCATCCGTCCACTGATAGCAAACTCACCCCGCAGCTGAGGAGCTAAACAGAAAACATCAGCGGCGAATGCTGTTATTATTTTCCAGAACGGCAAACGATTTAAGAAAACTTCATGCGATCACACTTGATTGGAAGCAAACACATGTTGATTGGAGACTTGATTGCACCCTGAAACTGGCCGTACGCACTTGAATAAACATGATGTAACAGAGGTATCCTTATGTTCATTTGGGCGCCCAGCTGCGCTGATCCCACAGCATCACACGGAATCGAAAATGATGAGGTAAACTATGGACTGCCTGGCTATGGCTGCGCACAATATCCCTGCTATTAGCGGTAGAATTTATTGCCCCCAGTGTCCAACTGGAGCAAACTGGTCGGATGGAAGACTCGTGAATTCTGCTGCCGACGTCGTCACTTTTGACGAGCTCCTCTCGCTACCTTGGTCTATTGGGGCTACCAATGAACAATCGTGATTCCTACTCGCACAGGTCCTAAACTAGCCTAGGCAAACAGCAAGATGGACCAGTGCTTCCAGATTGAAAAGAAAATTGGGGCTGATTGTGGGTTCAAATCCTGCGGAATCAACAATTCAAGGAAAGGAAGACAAAGTTTTAGGACTCCCAGCTTCGGCCAAGCTATAAATTTAAAAGCTGAGTGGAGTGCCAAACTGTCTGACAACTGCAACTGCATCTCCCCACAACTCTTTCCCCTTCTCTTGTGAAATCTCTCTCTCTCTCTCTCTCTCTCTCTCTCTCTCTCTCTCTCTCTCTCTCTCTCTCTCTCTCTCTCTCTCTCTCTCTCTCTCTCTCTCTCNTCTCTCTCTCTCTCTCTCTCTCTCTCTCTCTCTCTCTCTCTCTCTCTCTCTCTCTCTCTCTCTCTCTCTCTCTCTCTCTCTCTCTCATCCTCACTCTGTACCTGGGTACCTGGGTACCAGCTGATCATCAGCAGTCCATTAAACCATCAGTGCTATGGAGTGCGCCTTTTTTGCTGCCGTGTTATATCCGGTCTGTGAAGGGTCTGAGCAGATCAGAACTGTGATCTGTATCGGGAAGCGAAGACGCTCACATACTTTTGTGAGCCTTGTCTCTGTCGGAGCCTGGCTTTTGAGTGAGGACGCTGGGGAAAGTTTGGAAAATCGGGCTGGGGGTGCTGGGTGTTGAGCCTTGTTTCTGTCGGAGCCTGTGTAGACTGAGAGGCAGAACACCTTCCCTCCCCTGAAGATGATGCTATCATGATGCCTCCCAAGCTCCAATGAAGTACAAAATCTATGGCAGGTAGCCTGGTGATGGATGATAGGAGCATAGGTGGTGCAGTAGTGCTGAGGCAAGAGCACGAACTTGCAGACCTTTCTCCAGCATATTTCCATCCATCCTTGGTTATGGAATTGGTTTCGGAGTACGCCCATTGCGGAAGGACTGAGAAATAGTCACGAGAACGTAAAAATACTGCCTGCAATAGGGCGTTGTCTTTTGTTTATTGGCAGTCGTGAGGTTTGTCGGGGTGCGCTGTGGATGGCCTTGTTTACATCTGCTAAGCGAGTTTATTGTCCTTTGTGCTGTTTTTTTTTTTGTTTTTTTGCAGCTACTATGGCAAAGATAATCAAGGAGATGCTGCCGCCTGACGTCAGAGTGGCAAATGATGCCAGGGACATGCTTGTTGAATGTTGTGTTGGTGAGTCAGTCTGAAACCACCCTTGAAAATGTGATCATTGACCTGCATGAACTTGGACAGCATTTCCAAATAATTCATCATGAGAACCAGCAAAAAATTATTCTGGTGCTCAACCCTGCTCCACAGGTAGGGGGAACTCTCTCTTCCCCAGCAGACCTTGTGAAGCGTGTCTCTCTTCCACAGCGGTAGGGGCACTTCTTGACGCTTGTCGTTTGCTGGTAGACTTGGTTTTGTTGTATGCTTAGGAGTTGTGCTCAACTCTGTTCCGGGCCTGCTGAAATCCAGACGGGTATGATTTTTGATGGTATTGCTTCAGACTTCTGATACATCGATGAATGTGTGAGAGGGTACGATTCAGCTATAGTATCAGGGCATACTCGCGCTAGGACTTTTCCCGCAAAGCTCTGGACGTGATTGGAGTCAGATCCATCCTGGTGTGGCTGTAATTGCAGTCAGATGCATTTTGGAAAGTGCGAATGTGAGTATGCCCTCAAGATGTTATTATGGCTGCTCATACACCTATTCACACCCTATTCTGCTGTGAATGAATAGCATTATAGCAAGCAAAACATTTTCGGTCTCCTTGGCCAAACCTTGTTAATTGGCGTGTTAGTGACAGCGAGCCAGTGTTCGATTAGGAAGCTCGCATCCATAGCAGGTACCAGCTACACACGTCTAAGGGGACAGGTCTAAGGCTGTATGTTTAAGGGATGCAGGATGGCCTGGGTAGGCAAAGACTGCAAGCATTATTAGCGAAAGTGATATCCGACACATACAACAAATGTGGACTCACTGGAAATAAGCAAGTACGCATTCACCCCTCCCTACCCCTGAGGCTCCAGCCTTTGCCCCGACTGTGGGGGCGGAGTGTGTGTGTGGGGGGGGGGGGAGGGGGAGGTCAACTCTTACAACAGGAATGGAAAGCGCTTCAGTGCATTAAATAATTCGGCGAAACTATACTCCGAGAGGCATTCAGTTCTACAACATTCTCCCTATCTTTAAAAGTGCAACGTCAATGTAACCCACCAAATAACTCACTCATGTTCTCTGCAGCAACAGCACACTTCCCTATAGCAAGAGTGTGCTGAATCTGGCTAGAAAGACTGCGAGAATCTGGCTCTGGATGGCTTGGGCCAGGCCAAGCCGGCTGGGTGACCATTCAGCTGGTAGGTTTGTGTTTAGAAGTCTTGGCTTTGCGCATCTGGAGCATTTTTTTTTCGATCGCTCTGTATCCTACATGCACTGTGATCATTCTATTTTTGCATGTTCCTAATGTGCCTGTGCATGTGACACTGCCGGCCCCATCTTTCTCCATCCGTCTCGCCTGGCCAAACAGTTATTTTAGCGTGTATCTATTCGATTTGCAGGCCCACCCTCGCATGCACATATCCTCCTTCATAGCCGAAGAGTTTGCCGGTTTGTTGCCACAGACAGGTGAAAGAAGCGTAGCAGTGTAGTGTTTGCATGCCCCATCTTTTTCTCAACCCTTACCATGTCAGCTATTCTCGGACGGTATATCATTTTTAGCAGGCAGGATTTACGCATGCTGCCGAAAGAATTTATCTCATGTATTGTGCCTTGGATTGCTGGTTTGATCTGCGGTGAACTCCGCAGTGATTGTTTGCCCTGTGCTGAGATTTTTGCAGTGATTTGCATAATAGAGCAGCTGTGTCTCTCTGTCGATGTTCCTTCGTTTGTGGATGAGGTGTTGCTCCAGGCGTACTGCCTTTCATCATGTTTTTGTTGTGCTGCCGTGCTGCTCCGCGAACACCCTGATTGTTAATTGTGGGGGATGGCAGACCACATCATCACACTTGCCTGCCAGTTTTGAGATCCTACCACTTCGCTTTGCTGGAAGATCGTCGGACATCCATGTTGTACTTGCTGACTGCTTCGGCTTGAACCCGTTTCGTTTTTCCGTGCTGATCCTGACATGTGTGGAAAAGGTCCTCCAGCATTTGCACAGTATGTGTCTTCTGCTTTCTCCCGCCTTTCTTTTTGACGCTGGCTTGCCGATGGGTGTGGCATACCCTCTGCTATTAAATCAATCGTATCTAACACCAGAGACCCCTGCTATTTTGCAATTGTATCTAACACCAGAGACCCCTTCTATTTTTCAATCGTATCTAACATCAGAGACCCCTGCTAATTTTTCAATCGTATCTAACACCCGAGATCCCTGCTATTTTTCAATGGTGTCTAACACCACCAGAGGCCACTGTCATGTTCTCAACTGTTAGGCTGCTATTTGTCAATCGTGTCTAGCATTTACATGCACACATGATGTCGTTAAACAGTTATATGCAGACATGATATGTTAAAAATCTTTCAGAATCTCTTCCGAGACTTTTGGTAGCATGTTGTGGATAAGCTATGTCTAAAACAGCATGTAATATAATTTTCATATCTCCTCTGTGTGTGTGTGTGTGTGCGTGTGCGTGTCACGTGTGTGTGTGAGGCCCTTTTTGTATTTTGAAGGTTGCACTACTTGATAAGGGGCAGACTGTGTGAGTGAATGCGACCTTCCACCCTTTGGACATGGACGTTTCAAAGTATTAGCGGCCAGGGATGGTGGTGAGTGAGGTGTGGAGATTAGCTCTGCGAGCCAGTATCGCACTGATCTGCTCCATGGCGCACTGATTTCTTTCTGTTTGGCTGTCAGAACCTGCCAAAAGTTCTCTTCTACACGGTTAGAATAGCTCTTATCTACCGTCACGATTATCAGGTTTGGCTTGATGGTTCCTTTACCTGTCTTTGTAAGCGGTCCCACCTCTCTCCCCTCTTTTACCCCTTCCACCTCCAACCACACACAAAACCCCAAGAGGTTGACCACTTGTGTGGGGGGGGGGGGGGGGGGGGGGGGGGGGGGGTGTGTAGGGGGTGGGTGGAGGGGAAAGGTTGTGAAGAAGATGAAACCGAGGGGGAGGAGGTGGGTTTCAACTTTCAATTGCACGCTGAATTAAGATGATCTCCGGATAGTTTCGATTGTGTCCTGTGTTAATGGGAGCCCTCTATGCGGCTGCCTTCCATTGGAGTAGAACTGTGGGCCAGCAACTGATGAGAAATGTCTTAAAAGTGGATGCTCACGTGTCATTACTTCTGGTTGGTTGCTTGTGGTGACGTTGAGCTCTTTAGAATTCATAAATCTCGTCTCTTCAGAATCAAATGACATCTGCAGCAATGAGGAGAAGCGAACGATTGCACCCGAGCATGTAATCAAGGCCTTGGAGGTGAGGTGCAGTATTTACCCTTTTTTTTCAGTCTCTTTTTTTTGTTTCTTTCTTTCAATCCGAATATCTGCTTATCCAAATCTCATTGGCGGTGTCCTTTCCCAGATTCTGTCATCTATGTATACCAACTGCCTATCGCCCGTTTGCTTGACCCTGTGTGTGTGTGTGTGTGTGTGTGTGTGTGAGTGTGTGTCCATGTGTAAGTGTGTGTGGGAGAGAGAGAGAGAGAGAGAGAGAGAGAGAGAGAGAGAGATTTCAGGCGATGACTTGTTCCGAGCCTATGAGCGCCCAGGATCTGATTCGACATTCTGGGAGAGATGATTATTGGACGTTTGACAGGGGAGACTGTTTGTGGATTACTGCTGGTTATTCCCTTGTCTTCTCTCCATTTCCGTCTCCTTTGTGTCCTCCCCACCTCCATCATCCGTAGTCTTTTCCCCATGTGTGTGCGCAAGGAGGGAACTTTCTTCCATGCCGTGCTGATTTGACATGTGTGATGATGTGTGTGTGAGTCGAGTCTGAGTCAGACGAGTCAGATCATATCTTTGAGCCTCTGCTGTGCTGCATCGCAGTATATCGTTCCTCTCCTGGATGCACATTGCTTATTTGCTGATCGCCTTGTTTGTCGCGAGTCCTGCTCTTCGCATCGGTGCTCCTTCCGATCTGTGCATCGCTCATCTTCAGATGAGCATGCATCACCCAGGTTAACAGTGTTGTTTGCCCTCGAGTGGAGATCCTTGGCCTAAGGGAACTTGTAATATCCTGACAGCTCGCTCTCCTGTCTGCGTTCGTATTGTCACCCAGGCACTAGGCTTCGGGGAGTATGTCATGGAGGTGTCTGCAGCTTATGAGCAGCACAAAGCAGAGTCCTTGGTATGTATTCGCTCTCCTGATCCTTTTTTCCTTTCTTTTTAAGTATTCACAGTGATCTTATCATTTGTGACGATCAGTGTCGTCAGGTTGTATGTTAATGTGAGGCCATTTCAGACCTACCTACCGTCTTCTCCCAATTAGAACGTACGGTCATTATCGCTGTTTCTAGAGTCTAGACTGAAAATGCTCCAAATGCCGCTCTAATTACCATATGTTATATAGGGGGGAAGACGAGCAAGGGATTTCTGGATGGGTACAATGTTAAGCTGTACAGAAGAAGGATTTCATGCGCTTCCAAACTGGGAGGAGTAAAGAAGAACAGAACAATTGATAACTGAAAGCTGAAGACAAGCCTCTTTCCATCAGATGGCCATTGGACAAAATGGGTTCCGATTAATGTATGATGAGTTTTTTTCTCTCATCATCGATGTTGCTTCGGATGGGAGCTAAGAAACTCGTATGAACTGTCGAAAGCTCTGTCTCAGCCTGGATCTGAAGCTTGAATGTCTCTCTCTCTTTTTTTTTTTTTTTTTCCCTTGTGGCTTGAATGTCTCTTGATGTTGTCCTTCATGGGGGGCCCACTGTCGTTGTGTTTAGAGGTTGTAGAGCTCTTTTGGGAGGCTGGGTTCGTCTTTCTCTTCCCTCTAGAGTGTTATGTGGAAGGCAACTGTCTGTTTCTGACTGGAGATGTTTTCCTTTCATAGCAGGCATGATGAGCTGCGCTTGCCTCTTCCCTACACATCGTATACGGAAACGAATTGTATCATTGGAGATGTTTTCGTGTCAGTGAAAGGAGGAGGTATGGGGAAGCGGAGAAAGATTTGATGGGTTGAAATTGGTTCTCTGACTTGGTTTTGTGTAGAGTTCAAATAAGCAGGTGTCCTAAGAAATGTACACTCCGCTATTAAGTCGGCTGGCAGTGTGACAAACTTTGTAGTGCACGCTCTCTACCGTCTTCCCCTGAACATAACGCATATGCACTGTGCACGAATACAACGCATCGGTTGCGTTCTATTAGAATATAACGCAACACATTCGCGTTCTATTCCAACAGTCGGAATATTCGAATGCAACACATATGCATTCTATTCGAGTCGAGTCATCGATTTTTTCTTTTCTTCGAAAATGCGAATACAGCGCATATGCGTTAGGTTCGGGGGATGACGATATTCTTAACAGTCACTTCGAAAACTCGAATACAGCACATATGCGTTATGTTCGGGGGATGACGGTAGTCTGAACAGTCATTTACGTGATTAGGTTTGGTGTATTGCAGTTACTGATCATCCTCAGTTGGTACATGATGATTTTTCCCCTTTTTTAAGTTTTTTTTTTTAATTTGGACGATTTTTCAATTATGTGTTGCCATCCTTGCGTAGGGACCATGTTAATCTTCTGTGTATCGTTCCAATTTTAACATACGTCCTGAAGGACAGATGAAATTTGTTTCTATGTGTCATTCTAAAAGTGTAAAATTGTAAATACTAAATATTTCATTAGGAGCAGGTTGCACCCCCCGACAGTCGGTGGCCCTTGACTGGTTGGGTGCCGCGATTTTTTTTATTTATTTTTTGGGGGTGGGGGTGGGGGGAGGGGGGGGGGGGGGG